GTCCCAAAAATGATTGTTATCTAGTCAGGCTTTGAATGTTTTTTCTTTCTAATTGTTACACCTCATTATGTCAAATGAATGTACATCATACTTTAGTAGCTAAAAAATTCAAATATTAGAAGTCAAAGGAATACTTCATTCTTTTAGAGCAATTTTCATTGACTATATGTAAGTGCTGACAGTAACCAAGATTACAGAAGTTTTCCTTCACTTTGCTATGTGATTGGTCATTCAGGAAAATTAGCTCTGTCTTCTGAGTCAACCAATCAGATTAAAAAAAAAAAAACATTTACCACCAATGCTCATTTGAGTGGTTCTCACGCTTCACCCAATTCGTTTGTTGTTACAATGAGTTCTCATTAGCTCCTTTACGATCTTTGTTTTGCTCTGGTTAGCAGTTGAGCAACAACTTTGGCTTTATCAAGATAATTTTACAACACCAAAATGAAATTTCTCTTACTAATATAGCTAAATAGTCAAAAAGACCAACAGCAAGTTACCTTTGATAACCTTCCCTTTGCCCATCTAGAACTCAAGTGGTTCTCTTCCTTTTGCAAGGGATGAGTCAAACATTTGTCCATTCTCCAGTGTACCCTACAAGAGTTCATTGAGAAAATAAGGAAATCCATACATTTATGACAGCAACATTTTTCATATGAACTGAGATCAGGTTTGTTCATTTCTTTGGTAGTTTGTTTGCTTTGTTTTGTTTTGTTTTTTTCATAAGGGAGTCTTTTGAAGTGACAATGAAAAGGTATGTGGTAGAGATGGCAAAATCTATCTATTAATGACAGCTTGGCACCCTAGTGATTATTTAATTTGTCGTCCATGATCTGTTAAAGTGATGGCTGAGAGACTAATGGGTGTGACTGGGAAGAGGTGTGGAAAATATCTATTCTTAACAGGCAGGGCCAGGACCAGATTTGTCTTTTCCTTTGTCTTGCTTTGTTTTGTTTGTTTGTTTTTAGTCTATTTTGTATTATTTGGTTTGCTTGTTTGTGAGGGCAAAAAGTGATTGGAGAAGGAAACGGTAAGTACAGAACCCCTTTCCTCGAACCCTAAATTACCATTCATGATACTTAAATTCATATTTCCTGCCCTTCAGTGAAAGAGATGGAAATTGGAAGGAAGGTAAACCGTATATTGTGTAGGGCTGCAACCATACCCTTTTCTGCGCTCTCTTTGAACTTTCAAGCAAAATGTCTTGTTCAACAAAACAACTGTCCTCCCACAGAAGGCATTTTGGTTTTTATTCTGACCAAGCCTTTCCCCCCTTCCCACTATCCTCCAGTTTCTTTGGTTCAAACTTTTCTTTCAAAAATGCAAGCATGTGAGAACATCCTTCTCATAGGAAATTCTGTTGACCTTTTTAAATTGAGAAGCAGACAATATATATGTACATACTGTATAGTGAAGAGACACAATGTCACCATTATCTGTTTTGTCCTCACAGGTAGGAGGCTTGTACTGAAACAGAAAGATAATGTATATAGAATACTTCATGGAAAAATAGTCTATATGGTATTGACACACACAAGTTGGTTGTATGGGATATTGAACGAGTGAGTGCAGCAAACAAAACAGATTTCTGATACAAGCCACCAGGTGCAGTCAGATCGTGACCACATTATTTACCAGCTCTAGTGGCAGCACCTAAAGTAAAAAAACAAATGAAAATGCCAGACTTCTTCATAATTTTCTTAAGACTTCTTGATCATCTTCTTTTTTTTTTCGCATTTGTTAGTAAACCCTAATTCTCTCTCTATGATTATTCGAACAAATTGCAAAAGAAATTATCAGAGTCATGATTTAAGAAAATGCCAGAATGGCTCAAAACAGAGAAAGATATCCCATAAAAAAA